TGAAATATTCAGCTAATCCAAAACACAGGCAAACGCTATACAAACACATGACTAAAAAGACATGTTCTGTATCCCCAAAATCCCTATAAAATGGATTTTTATACAAATCTTACCTTATTGATGTACGGTGCAGAAAAAAAAAAAGCTTTATTGCAAATCATGGGTGTTTTACTATGGGTATGGCAGCAAAAGCATAAATTTCTTAAAATGTGCTGTACTTATTTACAAACTATATGCAGTTCTTGGGCAAGGTACTCCAAATGTAAGAAAAAACACCAAGAAAAAACACCAAAAATTACCTTACAGTGGGTGCTGTAATAATTCCTATAAAGAGGATTCTCCCCCAGCTTAAAGGGTGGCTTGCTTGGAATACAAAGATATGTTTCAAAAAGAAGGTGTTTAACTCAGTCAGCTGAAAAGAAAAAGGCAGTTAATAAGGTTATATTTTGTGCTGCATTTGTTTGTGTTCAATTAACATGGCTCTTATGGAACTGCTATACAAAACAGGCTGAGATTAATCTGGCAGCTACCTAAGGACAACTACGCTCTACTGCAACTCTGCTGGTTGGATTGGGGATTTCAAAAGCCTGAAATTCCTACTCTAGGGCAAGCAAAGAATATATGGATAAAACAAATAATTCTCCCCTAGGCACCTCTACAAAAGCATTTAAGTCTATTTCCAGAAGCCTGTTAAGAGGCCAGATACCAATCTGAAATGTCTACATCCTAAATCAGATATGAACGACTGAGGAAAATTTGATAAAGAGCAGAAGAGATTATATCTATAAAATTCAAACAATTCTGATTCTCTTTTAAAAATAAATTCAGCACATTGAGAAAAAAAAAAAAGAAAAAACCCACCAACAACAAACAATAACAACACAACAAACACCAGAATTGTTTCTAGTGAAGTCTTTCAGCATTTACACACAAGTGGTTGGGACATATTATGGAGTCTTGCTGGACCAAGGCCAGAGTTCTGAGTATCAGTGACTCATCCAACAGTCAGTGGAAGAAAAACCTGTCTAGCAGTTTCAAAAACCGCCAATTGCAAAGAATAATCTGATCACCAGTACAGCAATTTCTAACATTTCTGTTTTTTTTTTTTCCACAGATTCTGTAATTACACTCCTGAGCTATCACATAACTCCTGCGAACAAAGGCCGGACCAGCACTGTATTATCAATTCATTTAATTGTGCATTTCAATGACAGACACACATTGCATTAGAGTATCTTCTAGCCAAACGCTGCCAATAAGTAACTGAGCTGATGGCAGCTTTGATTTCACAGAACTTATTTGCTACCTGCCAGATGATCATGAAAAGGTAGACTCCAGCCACTCTTTGAAACGAAGACTTCGGGTCAAACCAGCGAACATAGGTCCAGCTGGCTGGGGTGAACTGTAACACAGCTCTCTTGATTTTCCCTGTGGTCGTGTGAATGTCCCTAGAAAAAGAGAAGACTGGGGTGAAGGCAAGAAAGATGCAAGGGGGAAAAAAGCAATATCTGTGTTACTGAGGTTCCAGAACAGACACTTATTCCCTGGACAGCAAAGGAAACACACACACACACACACACACACACACACACACACACACACACAATAATCACATTTAGGAATATGTGCTATCCAGTAATATCACTATGAGATGGAATTTAATATTTACAGTAAATACACAGCACCATTAGCAAATGCAAATTACATATTATTTCTATAACATATACATTTACACATGCAAAGTAAACTGTTTTCCAAGAAATTGAATTTAATGTTATAACATAAAGCTTGATAAGCATAATATTAAATTTAGACCTACTTGAAGCTTGCCCAGTGATAGGTCCTCATCTCCAAGAAACGACAAACTACCATGCCCAACCAGATGCCACCCCCGTTACAAAGCAGGATGTCCAAAATGACTTGATCCCACCAGCATTCAGCAAAATTAGGCAGAAGATGCATGAAGAAGAGCTACAGAACACAGCAAAAAAGATTCTGGGTGAGGAACAGCATTCCTATAAAACTCATATATAAAGTTACTTTTTCAGAACACACATAAAAATTAGCTTTTCAGTAAACATCGATAGTTCACGGACACGCGTGACCCCCACTGAAGTGCCCTGAAAATCCTTCCAGGATTTTGAGATGTTTCGAGATGTTTCCATCGGCTCCCTGTTCCCTATGGGGGCTGTGCAGCACAGAAGGCTTTAGTGCAGCTTTTGGCATCTCCGAGGACATGTGGGAGGGTCACAGAAATGCATCAAGCAAGAAAAAAGTTGCAGATTTGAGAGGAGTGAGGGGATTTTGTGCCCTTTTTTTTCCCCTCCTCAAATTAGTCTTATGAAGCTTGTTTTCTAAACCAGCAACAACATGTGACAGGTAGGCCATGTGTACATTTAACAACTGCCAGTACTAAAGCACGCTGAAATTCAAGACTTAAAGCTTGTTCAAATTTAATGTACATTTCAACGCTTTCTTTCATTCACCATTTTAAAGGAATTTTGTGACTCAGAGTCATCAGCATTTCAGACAAAACCAGTTTTGCTTTGCTGCCACCCTTGATTATCAGTGGCTTAAGGGGATGCTCCGCTCTCGCGTCAATTTGGTCTCTTGTAAGCACTAACTGTGATGAAGATACTGATAATGAGGCCAGAAGCAAACCAACACCATGTTGCAAAGTAGCCACCATCTGGATCCAGCTTCACATATTCAGCCCTTTAAAGATTTCCTCTGGAGAGGACACAAATCATTTGCTTTTGAAGCCATCTGTTGCTTTCTGAACTTAATGCTCACCTTAGCTCACCATGAAGCACCAGTAAATCAATTAAAAGTATCTGAAAAGTGGTGAGTTCATGTTTCTGACAGAGTGGAGGAGGCTGACTGCTCAGAGGGCCATAGTTAAGGCCCCAGAAATGGATTCAGCTCCCTGTTTTCTCTATTCCACAAGGAGGAAAAACAAAACAAAAAAGTAATTCCCAAACTAGAGATTAAAGAGTTAGCTGTGTATTGGAAACCAAAAGGTCTGTATGTTTTGAAGGCCCCCTTCAAAACACTCATGAAGTTGCATAACAAAACACACAGCAATCTAGATAATATTCTTATCTCCCATAAACATATGTATGTTATCTGATGGGTACGTGTATATGCATACACATGCATATATGCATGTGGATGATCTCTAGAGGTCCCTTCCAACCCTAAGCATTCTATGATTCTATGATTCTATGATTCTTATCTTCCATAAACGTATGTATGTTATCTGATGGGTAGGTATATATATGTATATATATGCATACACATGCATGTATATGTATATATACACATACATATACACACGCTAGATGACATACATATATGTAAAAATAGATTTGTGTCTGTGAAAGGTTAATAGCAGGGTTTTACAACAGGGTCATTTGTTGGCAAACATATGACTATAATATCCAAAAACTTCAAATGCAGGGAAAGGAACAAAAAGAATGCTTTTGCTAGAAACCAAGAGTAAATCATAGTCAATTTATAACATGCTACAGTGATTGATACTGGCAACGACACTACCCCTGCAAAGGCAGAAGTATAACAAAACAGTTTATTTTCAAGGTTTTAAGAATATCTAACGTGAAAGGGGCATTAGGCTATGAACCTCAATCCACAGTAGTTCACAAAGGTATCATGGGGTACAGCTAATAAGGGAGCAAAAAAGAGAGCACAAGGGTTTACCAGCTCATCTCCAAGGTGCTGGCCATTCTCAGAACAAGAGAGCAAGGTCTGCATGATCCCAACTTTCATCTGATATTATGGAGTGTAAGTCAAGTGTCCCATTTCAGAATGAGGAGCCAGTTGAAACCCATTAACGTTAACAGGAGACGCACGGCTAAATCCCTGTGTAATTGCCCTGATAAATTCTCTAGGTTTCTAATGACTCTCTTGAATCAACTAACTCATTTAAAAAAATACATCTGAGCAGCGATAGGCCTTCTATATGTTGAACCTTACCCAACACATTGTGTTCTGGTAATCTGCCTTTCAGCAACAGGGAATACTAGAGAGCTCATGTGGTGTCAAATTGAAGACGATGGTCGTGCACTAATCTACTGAACGATAAGAGCGTGTGTGAAACATGCCCAAATTTGAACCTGTTTTCCAGAAGGAAAAAGGAGCACAATAACCAGCAAAGCTGTTGGGCTTTATGGATAAGTACTTGTAGAACACCTATCTTTAACTGAATAATTTCATAATGGCCTGAAAAAAAAAGAGTATCCTTGAATCACACAGGTTAAAAACATGTTTTGAAAAGGAGTTAGTGGCAACAGTATTTTTGAACATAGCAGTTTAATTTTAGACAATTAGATCTTTATCTTTATTATTTCTGAATTATAAATGCCTTGACAGATGGGCCAAGAATCCTCAAGACAGAAAATGTTACAGCAAAATGAGACTTGAAAGATTAAATTCAGGTGATAACTCCACACTTAGTAGCAAAAAATTGACACGTTAGAATATGTTGTCCCCCCCAAAAAAGGGTCAAAATTAGATTTTTTCTTTTCTGAATTGTGCAATTGTAGAATAGCAGAAACAACAGATCTAGCAATAAAGACCAGCAGCCTGAGTGAAGTCAACTGCCTAAACTAAACTAAATATCTGTAGTCATTTAGCTGAAATAGGATTTTAAAGTGCCAAGAATCAACTGACTTAAGCACGGTGCAGGGGATCAGTGTACACTGCGTGAGCCAGCTCAGCTCTGGGGCTAGAGTGTGTTTTAACAAAAAATAACGTGGCTGTGCGCTCAGGTCTCGAGACCACAACACTCTGCATGGCGTTTTGTCATTTCACATAGATTTCTCCTCGTGTGTCTCCTCATGTTTTCCATAGGGATCCCCCTTTTCCATTTCACTGCATGGTAAACACGTAACTCCCACTTTACAAAGTATTGAAATAGTGTTGTATTGAGGGCAGGCAGTAGATCACAGGGATTGCAAGAACTCTGATACATCAGAGCATACTAGTCAGAACTTGAAACAGCACAAGTGTAGAGGAGGGTAACAACAGAAAAAACAAGTACGGATGGCACCAATGAACTGAATTAGATTTTCACTCTACTTCAAGTATTAGTAAGCCATCATCTGCACAACTCGTGTAAACCCTGACTTACTGCTCTTCACTGATGCAACTGCACCAGTGACTCTGCATATGGTTTATAGGCTCAAAATATCAATCTGTATTGAGAACAACCCTGTCGACCTTCTAGCACTCAGCCTGAGTAAGGTCTCACACACTCTCACAAGGGAGAAGGGGGCGGCCTACCTCGGTGAGCTCCCAGGTGATGCTAATGGTCCAGCACAGCCCATAGCTGCGGATCAGCAAAGCCTTCATGGCCCAGCCCCAGAAATGCCCAAAGGCAAAAATATCAAAGTGGCTGAGGATTCTCTCCCAGGTGATAACATGGCAGTTCACAGCATATTCCTGTTAATAACAAAAAACAAACAAGGAAAAAAAAAAAGCCTCAATGAACAGCTAACCTCAGAAGCATTAGAATAGTGAAACTTCTTTCTGTACAGTGCAACAAGTTCGAAATGAGAAAGGCATTATTGCCCTTCCTTTTCCTTCTGATCAAGAACACCTGCACTATTAAGTGCCATAATAATACAGCTCTAATTTCAAAGGAGATAACACAGACCTTGGAACCTGGAGGAGTACATTTTACGTGACCAAAGAACAGGAGAAGTAATAAAACAATTAAAAAAAACAGGAAACAATAAAACAATTTTTTTAAAAAAACAGGAAACAGTAATACTCTAGAAAATAGTTCTTTGCCTTTTGTGTGCAGGTATGTGTGTGGGGGGAGAGTGTGATTTGAAATATCCACCTTTCCTCATCTTCCTGCTGTCTGGTGGTCAGATGTACTCATCAGTGGCTAATCCCCATCAGTCTGCCTGGGGCAGAGCCATATATGAGTTATTCTGCTCAATGATCATTTGAGCATCCTTTTTGTCTTATTGTTCTCAAAGCAACTTCCCAGACCACGTTCATATTCAGAACATTTGGACACATGGCTGAAGTAAGAATCAGAATGATCCCGCAAGTGCTCCACCACAGATGAATGGCAGATTCCTTAAGAATGATAATTAGTATTCTAGTCATTGATATCAAAGGAAATATGTTCTCTCTTCATATTGCACAGTGAGTGCTAGAAATCACTGCCCAATTGAAAAAAAAAAAAAATCTGTATTCCATCTGGAGGCTGCATCAGCAGAGTTTTGTCTTGTCATTGGGCACATATTAAACAAGATTATTCCCAACTGCAAACAGACTAAAATCCCTGATCAATATCCTCCTAAAACACACATTGCCACCTGCAGGTGCAACACAGCACTGCTCGGTGCTGCTGAATTTCTAAATTCTCCTTGAGGTCAAAACTTATTCCAGTGCAAAGGAGCCATGATCAAGGTGAAAAAGGGAGGCGGAGATCCTGGCCCCCACAACGACAGGAAGGCAGAAAGTCGCCCAGATAAATCTCCCATCTTGCACACTCCCTATGGAGGCAGTGAGTCCCACTAGGAAGCTGCAAGTGTCCCTTGGTGCTGCTTCTCGTACGTGGCACCGCTGATGATCACTCACTGGAACGTGAATCACTTACCTGAAGGATGCCAAAGCTGCAGCTTTACTGCCTGTATCCACAGGTCTGAAACTGCCAGACTTAATGTCTCTATTCCCCGTCCTGCTCTGGGATGGGGTACACTTGCAAAATAGGGGAAAAATCCACATACACTAGAGCTGTCTTCCAGCTTTCTGCTTCTTTTGCTTCGTACATATATACAGAAAAAGAGATATGGGTTCAAAGCACAGCAAGCTCTGAGTTGGAGTCACTTTGGCACTGTGATCTATATGCACATAAAGTCACTGTGCTTCATACCCTAAAGAAAAGGATGAGAAGCACTGACTGAAAAATGTCAGGTGCAGGCTCCTAGCAGCAGCATTTTATCTGTGAATCTATATTGAGTGGACACAGTAAAGTTGCTCTAAAACTATATTTCTTTTGTGGAGCTATGGCTTTTATTATTTTTACAGAGGTTTTTCTCCCATAACTTCTTTCCAACTGCACTTCTGCCAGTCATACACACACAGAAGTGTTCAGCTTCCTTTTATACTCAAGCGCCTGTGCTAGCCCCATGCAAGACACCAAGCTGTAGCCTTCACTGCTGTGCACCTTCTCCCACGGAAAGTTTACTCCAACTCAAAATGAGACTGGAGGAAGCACAGATTAAGTTTTTGCTGACTGCTGCAGTCAGGGAATATGCTTTAGTGCAGTTCTGTGTCCACAATAATTCCAGTCCCCCCAGCTTGAATCTGTTTATTCCTAACTCTGAGGACAGGAGAGCCAGGTGAGTAACTCACAGACTGAGATTCCTCCTCATGCCAGCTCCTCCTGTGGCTCCGCAATGCCACTAACCCCAGGCTGGAGCTCCCTCAAGGAACCGCCTCACGTTCCCGGCGATCCCCCACCTCCCTCCACACCACAGCGGCTCCCCCTCTCGCCACCACTCACCTCCTCGGAGCAGGTGCCGGTGCTGAGGGGCAGCACAAGAAGCTTCCAGATGTTTGCAGGGAAGCGGCTGCCCATGGTCCTCGCCGTGAGGCCGCTGACGCAAACTAACTGCACTGTGGAGATTTGCATTCCCCTTTATGTGCCACGGGGCTGCAGCTTGCAGCCACTGATAATTAGGTGCTGTGGTAGTTGTCATGGCAGTAAATGGCCTTTTGCAGGAGGTGACCAGTGCATTTCCTGACCCCTGAGGCAGGAGCCTGAGAACGGCACCTACCCTACAAGAGGCAGTGGGTGCCGCAAACGGATCTGCAGACCCCGGCACAGCAGGCAGCCTGCTCAGGAGGTGGGCAGCAGTGTGGTGGAAGAGGCCTCGCTACTCCTGCCAGCTCCTGCAACAGCCACCCCTGCCTGCTGCTCAGCTGCTCACCCCTGTTCTGCCGGCATCCCGATACACCTCTCGTGCTCTTCCCATGCCTCCCACCACCATCTCATCCCCCTGCGCTACAGCCCCTTCCTGAAGGGAGCTCTCTGCACGGAAATCTCCCTGCGGGCTGTTGAAGAGGTGGGGAAGCAAGCCTGCTTTCTGCACCACTGAAGATCACAGCCTGGGGATCCGATTTCCCAACAGCACCAGCATTAGCTACTTCAGTGGGCGGCTGAAAAGCAGCAGAGCCTGCGGTTGCTCTTTTTGGCCTTCTACCTACTCGACAGCGTGCCAGGCACATGCCAAGTCACAGCAATAAGGCAAAACCAAAGGTCATGTAAGGCAGCACCACAGCAGGTCAAAAAACCTGATCTGAAGGCCACATATCATATCATCTAGATACGTTTATCATGGTAGTATTTGCAACATCCAGGTTCATATCTATTAAGGAATCCAAAGCTCCAGTTCAAACATTTCTCATGCTCCCCACTGCACCCATTTGAAAGCCCGAAAGAGCAGAGAGAAGGCTGCTTCTCTCACTCATTGATTTCAATGGGAAAGAAATAGCAGCAGTTGATACAAAAGCCTTGTTGACTCTAGTGAGTACAGATACCAACTTGCCCTGCTCATGCAAGCAAATTCAGATTTACCCATTCCCGCCCACTTAAATTACATGCAAAGTAGCCAAAACGCACAGCGCAGTGCCACAGATACATACCATAATATCCGCTTCCCTTGTGGCATATCGGAGATTGGGGTCCAGCCAGTACATTACTGCTTTTACTTGCTCAAAGTTAAGGAAGAGCACGAACACCAGGAAGAGAAAATAGAGCACACTGAGACCTGCAAAAAGACTCAGTTTTAGAAACGTGTTCACTGACAAAGCTCTGCGGCACCCAGAGTCCTCAGAGCTGCCTTCAAACTAGAGCTCGGTATCTACTGCCAAGTTCTCACAAATGATTTTCCTACATACAATAGTGTTGAAAAAAAAAAAAAAAAAAACACTTAGAGACAAGTCAGATGGCAATCTTGAAGCATCCAGCCCTGTGCATATTTCCCATTTCCTGTGATGTTACATATGCTTGACTGCATGAACCCAGTCAAAACAAAAACCAACCTGAAGAGTTTAGACATGAGCAGCACAACACAGGGCTCAGGAAGCTCCTCAGTAAGAGGCACATTAGGACCCCACAGTTGTACTGGCTCTGACCCCTTGATTAAACACTGTCAGTCTCACTAATGTAGGTCTCTAGGCCCGTATGGCAGGTTTCAACGCGATGATCAGTTTAATAATCCCACCCGGCAATACAGAGCTCTGTGAGCAATGAAAAGTAATTGCATATATAATCTAACAGACCATCACACCCGAGATACTTCTGTGAAATGGACAATCTGCTGTTTGAAGCTTTAAAAATAAGATGGCTCATGATATATTTTCAGACGATTTAAGTTCTGTAACCCTATTCTGTATTCTGCAATGCTATTTGGGACTATGCCCTCTCTCCTCCCCAAGTCTGAATACCGATTTTCTTCTGGTTAGAAGTGAAAGAAGTGTCCTAGGAGTGGAACTACAGCAGCCTCATCGACCTTCCGGGCGCGCAGCTTTGCATCACTGGCACGTTCACAGCTCAACTCTCCTCCCCACTGCACGTCTAATAGCAGAAACGTAGAAGATTTAACCAAGACTAATTTGGGAGTAGCCATATAGCTCTGCACAGGTACACAGATATGAACACACTGTCCCCTGCTCTGATTTCAAGCTCGCCTGAGCAAGCCAGGCCACGAGCAGCACAATCACACAGGGGAAAATCTTGCTCTTCCTTTTGCGAGAGGTCTCTTTGCCAGAGCACAGGGAGTCAAAGCTCTGACCCGCTCAGCACTGAGAAGGTCCTTTTAACTTACAGCTGCTGTAACCACAAAGAGGCAGCAGGACGTTTTCCAAACCCTCACAGGCAGCAGGATTCTTTAAGAGTACTATCTAATCCCAACTACCCTCTCAATGTCAACAGATGAGTAATCAGCTACTTTAGGAGGCTAGTTATTTTTAGCTTTATCAAGCGGTAGAAGAGAGAAGTATTCACAGTCCTTCTAAAAAGGAAGAGACCAGCTTTTAAATCCAGCGTGCCTATCTCTGACAATACACTTAGAGTCTAGTCTAGACTCCATGGCCAATCCTGCAGAAGCACCAAGCAGACCAGAAATACAATATAAAACTTACCAAAAACCATTCTCCATAATGCGGGGTGTGGGCGAGTAAAAGGTCCTGTGGACAGTAAACAAAAACCTATTAGAGGACAGTCAGCAAGAATGACAAAGCCAGTTTTTAGATCTAGCTCAAAAGAAGAGCTTTTGGCATAAGCACAGACCCGTTCTTTATAAAACTTTGCAACACACCCCAAAGCTTTGGGTGCCTTTTGTATATACATTAAAAAAAAAAAAAAAGAGTGGTGACAGGATATTTGGGAGGAGAAAGCACTTGCTAGAGTGTAGACAAAATAGACAAAATGTTCAATTATTTCTAGGGGAGATGTCTACAGAACAGTACTGTGGTGTTTACTCTGCAGACACCATATAACCCTAGCATCCCCTGAAGATCTCTCCTCTGGTTTCCACAGACCACAGCTCAGTCTTGCATGGCTCGCTCCGAATTAAGTCCTTACATTCAGTTTTCTGAGCACTAGCAAACACTGTGCTTAACTTTCAGATAGCCATGAATTGTTAGCAAATCCAAAACTCCTACAACTTCTAAATTGAATATCATGTATCTAACAAGATGCAAGATACCTATATCCCCTTATCAGTATCAGCACCATTTATCTTATAGACAGAAATAAAAAATGACTTTATTAGAATAAAAAAACAAACAAAACAAAAAACAAAGCAAAAAACCCTCCCACACTTCTTAGTTAATGCAACTAACAGGAGATAGCAGCCTGATGAAAGCACAAAAACCTCTAAACATGAATCATTCATTAGTACTAAGAAGTGGCTGATGTTTTCAGAACACCTTGTGGATTGCTCTTTCATCCCTGTAAGCATGAACCTCATTCTTCTCTCTGACATCCAGCTTTTCAGGGAGCACTTTGTGACAACTATCAATTTATGAAGTTCAAACATGGGAAAAACACTTTACAACTCAGAAACAGAAATTTACCTTAACCGCAGTTCATGTTCATCTATTCCTGAACAACGTCAATCTCGTTTAAACTCAGAAATTGTATGTAAAAATTAAAGAAATAAAATAGGCAAGCCAGCATTTCCTCTACAGCATTAAGCATCACAAAAGCTTTAGCCTTTCTACTTTCTGCCTCCCATCGCCCCCAGTTAATAAAGGTTTTGTCCAACATAATCTTATACCAAGCAATTGCAGTTTTACTGCAATTATGTGATTTAGATTTAGGCTCCGCACCCAACCATGCCCTGGCTTCTGATACAGTGATTTACGTAAGGAGTTATACCTCTGAGAGTATCTAGAATAACAGCTCTGTTTAAAGCACACTGAAGAAGACTCCTTCAAAGCATTATGAAAGGACTAGGCAGCATCATTCCTTCATAACTGCGAGCCTGCAGATAGGGACACTGTGATTTTTGAAGAGCCGACTTTCTTGTTAGATACAGACAAGCTATAAATAACCTGCATTTTACTGATATCTCTACTTGGTATCATTGCAACCCACTTTTAGACTGTTCCATAACAATAAAGGAATGCAAAAGAATAAAGAAAAAATGCATTTAAAACACTTTAAAAAAATCAAAATAATTATAGTGACGATAAAGAGAAATTTACATGTAAGAAAGTGAAGTATGAACCTTACTCACCATTGGGAAAGGCTAGAACACTGATGATTAGAAAGAAGAAAATCACAGAGAGGAAACCCCTCCAAATATTATCCTCTGGGACAGAATCATCCCTGAAGAGACAGACAATACCACAGTGTTAAGGTTTCATTTTGAGGATGAACTCAAAAGGCTGTCGAGATATCACATTAATTAAATATAGGCTATAGAGAAATAAGTATAGGAAATAAGCACACTGGGTTGTGTACCAAATCAGGGTACTAACTGCACTGAAGAGTTTTCTCTGCACTTCTGGAGATCCTTTCTTACAAGACGAGTTAAACATATAATCTATACATTCAAGCCACAAGTATGGCTTCAGCGGTGACAATTCAACAGTGATTATAGCAAAATGAGAAACGCTCCTGTTTTAATGTTTACAGAAACATCATCTAAAGTACTTTTATCTAACAGAGACAGACCGAGACAGAAACTCTGCAAGCCTGGGTGCAGGGGATGGCGGAAACATTGCAGTGCTTTCAGATTATTAAGGCAAAACTTGGAATAAATTAGCACCTATTAGTTGTGCTACTGTTATTTCACAGCCAGAAGAGACCTAAGAACCCACAACACTCGACACGGATCTTTTCTTCCCAGGAAAGCATCTGTCGCATTTCTGGATGGTTCAGAAAAGAATCTGCAACAACATAAATGTGCCCCACAGTATCTATTTGCTGTATCTCTCAGCTTGTCAAACTATTTCCCTTTCCCTCAGATCTGATCCATAACAGCTTCACAGAAGACTTTCTCCATTAGGAAGCACCTAAGCACGGTATTAATCCTACGGCATGCTAGGAAAACCTAAATTGAATGTGAAAGGTTTCTCTCCTGCAGAGTCTTGGAGACTCACAGAGTATTTTTTTCCATTATGGATCTACCAGCCATTTTCCAGCAGCAGTTCTGCACGGTCTGACACTCATGCCAGCTATAAACCCCAGAGACCAACCCTGGCCCCCTCAGCAAGCACAAGAGCTTCATGACACCCAGGACCCTTCACAGTCACAGGCTCCAATGTCTCCCCCAACAAACTCACATCCCTCTGTTATAACATGGTATCACAAGTGCCATCAAGTGAGGATTGTTTATAATTATTATTTTAAAAGTGACCGTATTACTGTAGTCGCAACACTGTCTAATTCAGTGCAACCACGGCAGAAGTGGAAGAGACCGTGATTTTATCACTTAATTTTAGTGCCAGCTGGGCTAGAAGGGCTTCATCTTTGTATATCAGGTCTTTGAGCACTGCTCAGCCTCAGGAAGGCTGTCCTGGTCTTGTTGCCACCCTCCAAATCAACGCTGTCTATCCTGCAAAGCCTTTACACACCTTGTGCTTCCTCTATTCATAGGCTTCTTGACCATCGAAATCTCATTCCAATAGGCCGAATGACTGGCAGAGGTATTTTATTTTCAGAGTAGCTTTTTTCAAAAGAGCTAGATATCTATGTTACCTTTTTGCCAGAAGCGGCTAAAACTCAGGTGGGAGTGACAACCTCACTAGTTAGGGTAATAGTCACAGAATTTTCCTGGAAGAGTTATTTTGGGGAACGCCAAAACACACAAAAGGAAACAAAGTAGCTGCTAGGGGAAAGATACAATCTCAATAAGCTGCAATCAAGAAAATGTGCTACATCATCTCCCCACCAAGCCTGAGAAACTTTGATGCTGACTTGGAAATACAAGCATTCATGCAGCGTGAAGTTTCTGAAGCTGGCATGGGAGGGCAGAAGCAAATTCTCTCAATTTAAACCCACTTCAGCAATGCATTTTTCAAGTCTGTGGTTTTTGGAGAGAAAGACAAGAAAAAACAAAGGACAGCACAAGCACCTAACCTTTTTTTCCCCTCCCTCTCCTGCCTGCTCCACAACACTACGTTACACTAGAATGTTACTAAAAAAAAAAAAAAAAAAAAAAAAAAAAAAAAAAAAAAAAACGAGGTTAGCTGAATGAAGAGGTGGGGCAAAGCATCTCCCCCAAACAAACCTAAATACATGATCATCCCATTTAATCAACTTGAATAATCCAGGGTTTTTGTTTTAAGAAGGCAGTCCTACACCCCCATAGGTTTTATTCCTGCTTCCTTTGTGATGGGTGTCGCTTTGCTCAGTCCTTCAGCAATATAACCCCATAGTCCTCCAGAACTTCCCCTAAAATCTGCTTCCCGTATTCCCAAATGCCTGTGAATTTTCCTTTAGCACGCCTGTGCCAAATTTCCTGGAAAAAAAGAATAAAATGCATTTAACAAAGTCAGTAGGAATACATCACACGAAACCCCCTGGTGTGGAACTTACTTCAAGTAAGTTCCTTCCTCAATCAGCAGAACTACGATGCAAGTTGACTGCACAGAGGAAGCAAAGGAAAAAAAACATTTGTCACAACACGGTGTGCCCAGGAAGTGGGAACAGGGACACAGGCACTGGAGACTCAGGCAGGCAGAGGAATAGGAAGGCCAGACCCAGGGGCACATGTGAGAAGCTTCCAAGGAACCTTCCCGCCTGGCTGCTCCGGTGGGCAGTGCCCCGGATACAGCCATGGGATTGGCAATGTGGTACCTCCATGGAGGCTTAGGAAACGCCTAAGCGTTGGGGTTAGGGTTGGAACAGTAGAGAAAAAATAAAGAGCAAGAGGAGCTTCCAAATGTGAGGAGAAGCAGTTAAAGGGAAGTCAATCGGTATATTTATACATAGGAAATGAAGTAGAGCTGAGAGACAAATAGGGAGGAAGGGCAAGAAAATTAAAGAAATCATCGAAATTAGAAAGAAAACAAGACAAATCCAACAAAACGCTAGCGATCCTCCTGGAAGGAAACCCAAAGCATCCCACAAGGAAGCAGGTCCTGTGGACCTGGGAGACTCAACAGCTCTGAACCTGCCCTGTGGCTCGGGCCCAACCAACTCAGGGGAGAGGAGAGTTGCACAGAGCGGCACAAGAGGAGCCCTCGTACAGGGCTCTGCGGTTACCGCTGTAAGGGAGCGCGGAGCCACGTCCAGGGCACGGAGCCGGGATCCGCAGGCCCTCTCGCCCGGGCTCAGGATTTGCCACCCAAGGGACAGGATCCCTGCACACACCTGCCTCGGGGCCACGCGCCAGTAACACCAGGAGCAGGGACAACTCAAGCAATTTGCAGCTATGCCGTTTTTAACTTTCCTTACGCTCCTTTCTCAGCTCATCCCACACTCGACCATTACTTTTGCAATTCACATGGACGCATTCGCCGAGCGCGACCCAAGAGCGCGC